CAAATGCTTCTCGATCGATTAGGCTGGACGTACAATCTGGTTAATAATTTTCTTGCAACATTAAATACTGAGCAGGCAGAAGCTGCTGCAATATTCAAATAATCAGCTCGGCGCAGCCCACTTCAACAATCGCTTGCAACATGACACAGGCCAGGGTTGCTGCAACATGGGCTGCACAAGCCAGCATGGCAGTTCGAGAGTCAATATACTGAGCTCGCCTCATTGCTTGCTCAGCATTAGCATTGCCAGCATCGCCCTCCTCAACCGAACTGATGCGGGCAGCTAATGACTTCCTGCACTACAGCAACACTCGATATAAGCTACATACGCCAGGGTGACTATATACACTTCACCGAGCTATTATATATTGCTGGCAATGCTCATTTATCTTCGCTGAAATATTCATGAAGGAAACATTCACTAATCTTTGCCGAGCTATTCCTACAGACAACAGTTACTGATAATTGAATAGATCGAGCAGCGTCCCTTATTCTTCACCGCACCCTGCATGAGGACAGCTAACGGTACTCTTCATCTAACAATTCGCGAGGGAAACACCCGTTACAACTATCAAGAGAAAAACTGATGTTGTCTGTATTTTCAAAAACGTCCATTACTAGGATATTCAACAGTGTTGTAAAGAATATGGTTCTTTGTTCGGGGGATTGTTCGGAATGAAAACTCTTAGATGACTAAACGGCTTATAAAAACAAAGAATGAACAATTGGAACGATAAGTTGAGGGTATTCGAACTTATAAACAATATTGAGCTCTTAATCAACGTAAAAAAATAAAATGATCATAACTTAAGTAAATGATTACGTACCAAATTGCTGAACTCTTTACGGCAAGTTCTGGTTAGAGACAAAGTTTTGCATAAGCTTGTCGACTCTGGTCCTATCTGAGAGGTCTAAATCTTATGAGCACGAGATAAGTATGCTCCGTTATATTCTTTACAAGTGTAAATCTCGCTACTGTTTACCGATCTTTTGTATGGTGCAATTCTCGTAACTGAGTACCATACCTCTTAACAGATAAATCAATTTTCTGTTTTCTACAACGCATTTTTAGGAGTGAATTTCTTGCTGAGCTACTCCGCGGTAATTAATTGGGCAAGACTTCATCCACGGCATCACAGAATGGGAGTTCTTTTTAGAATTTATACAGGTTAAGGCGCTCTTACGTTACGGAAAGATCACTCCGATTAACTTATAGAGACATCATTGCACCACTTACTTCTTTTAACATTTAAGCTGCACTTTTGCTGCGTACACTGACCAGACATTGGACGATAACATGCCACGATAATTCTGTATTGAATGTCCAGGTTTTGGATAATTAAATCATGGATTGACAATAATTATAGCATCGGCAAAATTTTTAGGCCAGCAAATTGGTTCTTTCTTCTGAAACAGCAAATCAAGTCCTGCTGTGGCTCATTTATCCTGATCGGTGTAATAAATGATCGCATAAGCTTGTCAATCATATTTCTGACATATTTTCCATATTTTTCATTTTTATTAATAGGAAAATATACATTCCAGTGTGCATTACTTGCAAACAGAATCGTTTCTTGGATACTTTTTTCGAGCAAATCCTAACAGGCACTTACGAGTATTTCTTACACATGAAGGTGTCCACAATTCATGCATACTTTTTTAGATGAGCTTGTCTATACTCTTCAATCACTTCCTCAAGAATATAATTATACTCATTCGGACTCATTACCTGGACTGAACTTACCTGAAATAGAATTCCTTACCTTAGCAAATACTTGACGTTGCAATGCCATGATCCGAGATGAAAAATTCGGGCAAATTTTTTAATTTTCGAGATACAAAATTCAGACGATTAAGCAAATTCGGCACGAAGAAGACCGAACTTGCATGACATGCAGCCGGCACTGTAATGAGGAGATAGCCGCGATGTTAGCTCTAATATAGCCGGCTAGCCGCCGTGTACAGACATGGCGCAACCTATGTACAGACATGGCGCACCACCTCATTTTCTCTATTTTTGGTCACCACGTCAAGGTGTTTAACTAACTTTGGTGGCGCCCACGTTCGTCCCACACGTCCGTGGGACTCAGCGGGGTTGGTATGTGGGCCATGTTGGCGCATCGCCATTATAACATCGCAAGGAATTATCAGTCATTTAAATGTTAATAAAATGTGGGTAGAATCAGCGTTTGCACCTTACGGTCATGCCTTAAAAATTTCGTTTTCCCTTCCAGTTATGCTTTTTCAAAAATCAGTCAAGAGAATAGAACATTTAAAATTAGTCACCGAATTAAAAGATTAAGTTCGAGATGTTTAACTGAAGAATTGTGGTTACCTCGAGTATTTTCAGTTGTCGTTATTTAAAAAAATATGTCGTAAAGTTCGCCCCAGATAATATCTGGAAGGTGCCACGAATAAATTAATTTAATGTGGATTAGTGAATTTAAACAATCAATCCTTGGGCCCGCTGTAGCCCCAGTCGCTTCATCCAACTAAGAACGCTGCTGAGAGCCAGTATGTGGTGGCAGCAGTAGCGCACCGACCTCTCAGAGAATTAACAACAAATATGCATGTTTTCTCTTAATTTTTTGGAAAACTTGGAAAAGTTTGAATGTTGTTCGCATACTTCATTCACTCAACATGTATTTTTAACGTCATTGAGAGGCATGCAAGAGCTCGACGCAAACAGTCCAATGTAAACAGAGCCACTGCGTCTAAACAGTTTACTTACCACAGACTGCCTGTTACGTGTGCTCTTTTTGAACTCGTGGCTCCTAATAATCTCGAGTACGTCTGTTGCCAAGTGCCAGTATCGAAGTTGAAATTTTATAGCAAAACCAGAAAGAATTACGTACGAAGTCGTAAGAGAAACCAAGGCCGTCTTACAAAATAATTATTTGTTTTGGTGAACAGGCGAGTGCTAAAGAATAGTGTGGTGAATTTTAAAGCAGCTCATCTGAAACTCGAACCTAGGGCCGAGTATTTCTCGACTATACCAAAACTTGGAAGACGATCTCTACCTACCAAGAAGGTCTAGCTTTACCTACCCGCATAAAATTAACGAGTGACGTTCGTTAACGCATTTACAGAACACAGTTTACATGCGTCGCTTTGTATAAACATAGAACTGATAAAACATTGAACTGATAAAACATGGAACTGATAAAACATGGAACTGATAAACATGGAACTGATAAAACATAGAACTAATAAAACATAGAACTAATAAAACATTCAACTAAAAACTTATAACTGATAAAACATATAACTAATAAAACATAGAATTGATAAAACATAGAACTAACGTTAGCAACTGCAAAGATCCGAGTTTCTGTTCTTATATAGACACACCCACGCTTCTGTTAATATACTTGCTTCTGCTTCACAAAAACAAACTACTCAAACATCCCTCTCCAATTCCGTGAATTTATTTCGCCAACTGACAACATTAAGGTCAAAATTATAATTAAGTTGCTCTTACTAATCCATTGGTAGATTTAGCTCGAAAATGAGTGAGTTATTTATACGTTCGTTTGGCAACGATCTTGGTTGGAGAACTTGCGCCCAATAGTCAACTTCGAGAAAAGTCCATTTATTTGAAGGAAACTTGCTAATAAAACTGTACTTATTGATTAAAACTAGTATGGGACAAGTTTATCGATATATTTAGAAATTGAATACATTTAGATGCAGGTACATCCTCTTCTAACACTGAAACTTAATTAACAGCACAATTATTGAAATCTTAGGACCAGAAATTTGCACATAGATGATTACACATTATACTTTATTCATACAGACCTATACATATTTTAAAATATTATTTTCATAATAAATCTGTCGGCATCCAAATTCCTGGTTTACTAAAACGATATTCTCCTATGTGCACTGTCTCAAAACTGCCATTACCTAAATTTTTTTAATATAGAGGAAACTTTTGAATGTTGAGTAGATGTTTTTATGGTTGTTTCTTTCTCTTGCAAGCATGATTAGATGCAAACTAAAAAAAATAAATAATAAGTCAGTGATTGGTACTTTCCATCAGTAAGAACATTTTAAATTTTCAAGTTAACATGTACACATTTAGGCTTCGGACGATTAGATATATTAAGCTATACAAATTTTGAACAGTATAACATTACACGTAGGTACCTCGCTATCATCACTCAGTCTCCAGCCATCATTTGTTGGTAATGTAAAGATTTCGATATTTAAAGCCTCAATCGTTTCTGTGAAATCTACATCTATTCAGATTGATTTCTACCTTCAAAAATTTTCCCTGTCCCACGTCAGCCAATTTACCGAATTGAAGTGAATATTGCCAAATGTTGTTCTTGCAAAGGCGAAAAATAAAATGCAACATTTTTTTAAAGAGTGTACTCCCATGTGAACAAAGTTGCGATATTTACAGATAAAAAATAAAAAATTAAAAGAGAAGTCAGAGTGATGAAGTGTGGAGTCATCATATTGAAGGCTACACAAATTTGGCACGATAATTCACAGTATTTAAGTTACCTACGCGATAAACGTGGTTCTTATGGTAAAGCTAAAATTGTGGAGCATGAGATATTATAATCACATCAATGAATTCAGAAGATATCTTGGATTTGTACAAAAAAAAACACTTTAAATGAAGTAAATGTAGGACTTAGTCAAATTCTTTCAGATTTTAATTTACAATAATTTTTCAAAGACTTGCAATCTTGAGATTATCCAAAACTCGAAAAATTTGATGGTTCATTAGGTCATCATCAGGTTAGACATAATTTTTTGCGTTATCATTCTTTAAAGCTGGACTAGAAACACTCATTATCTGGTATTTTGTTTCGAGTCACGCGGACAGGAATCGTTATTAAATATTCATACATCGTAACCGCGTCCATACATTGATTGAAATGATGCTATATTGACAAGGCATCAATAAGTGTTTAAAGAATTCCATGTATCCAGGTTTCATTTCAAATAACATCATATACCGAAAATGTTAGACATTCTTAATCCTTTAACTTCAGCCATGAATGAACATGTTACATTTTTTTAAGCCAAGAAATTTACCGACTGGTTCTAATTCATGATGCAAACTACCAACCTGAAGTAAAATGCGCGATGGAATATTTGATGGAGACACAATATTTGATATTAATTCAGTCGCTTTTGTCCATGGTATACATATCGAGCACGAGCCTGTGTATGGGCGTATCCCCGACGGTGTCTCTGAAGAAAAGCGCCTCCACCGTGGACGCCCTCACCGTCTTCAGCCCCGGCAGCAGCAGCAGCAGACGCCCGAAGCGCGTGGGCTGGCGTGGCAAGCGACTCCTGATGTAGTCGCTGAGGATGCACTGAGCCTGGTCTTGTAGCATCTCTACAGGGTGAAGGTCTACCAGGTCTCCTGCTTCTGAGATGAAAGTACCCAATAGATTGATTCTAATTTATTGAGAATCAAACTATCATTTATGCCATCGCTGAGTATGTTCCGCAAGTTTCTCACAGATCTTAACATTTTTTAATCTACAATTAACTTGGTCATCGGTTTGGTTTGCATAGGAAACATGCATCAGACAAATTACTTGATGCTTGAGCAATTATCGATTAATGGACAATCTTTCTGTTCAAAGAAATAAATTCCATAAACTGAGTTTCATTTCTTATCTTTAATAGCCATTAACCGAAATATTGAACTCGCACCTCAAACATCATCAAGGTTCCGGTAAATTTTATCAACATTTTATCTTTTTTACGTTCAAGATTTGTTAGTTCTACACCGACGTACACTTCAGGTTATGTACAAATCTTAGAATTAAGACTTAAGTATAAAATTCATTTATTCTATTCATGTAATCGCAGACCACATTACCTGGTTTGAAAAACAGCACCGTTTTTACTGCGGAAATGTTTAATTTTTACACCAACGTATACTTCAATCTCTGTTTATGTCTTCGAACTAAAACTTAAGTAAAAATTCCTTGACTTTATCTCTGTAATGGGAGAAGGCATTACCTGGTTTGAAGAGCAGCACTGCCTTGAGGCAGCCGCACTCTGTGGTGTCGGGGCTGAGGTGCCTGAAGCGCCTGAGTACGTCCTGTATTGTGGCGACCTCGCTGGCCGTGCGCACGTCTTGAGGCACTCTGGTGAGTACATTAGCAGACAAATATTATTTTTTGAAGTAGATAACAGTAAAACGCGAGAGAAACAAGGAAAATTGGAATAAAGTTTGGTATAAGGAACTTGAAGCTGATTCAGGTAAGCCTAATTCTTTTCAATGGAGATGAAGTGCGACAATACCAAACCAAAAATACATTGAAATAAAAGAAATTTTCACGCAATTTTGAAATTATTACAATTGATAAATGGATTTCAATGTTTAAGTTACTTATCTCTATTTCATTTCGGCGGTCATGATCAACTTATATTAATGGCTAGCAGGTAACATGACAATTTTCAATAATATTCTGAAAACACTTGACTGCCGATATCAACTGTCTGCTATAACCGCTCCTTATTTACTGCAAAACGCTCATTTTATTCCGACTGATATCTTCCCTTGGGCTTTACTATTAAAAACCTCTTAAGTGCACATAGTGTCCACAATTTCTAGCCTGTGATTGGTGGGTTTGGCATGAAACGCTATCGTTGATTGGCTTACGTAGTAAAAAAATCTTAAACTATATTTGATAATACGGCAACATATTGCCTGCATTTTATACCTCAGCGATGAGTGCATTTCAATAGGAACAGTTGAGTTTCAGGACCTGTGCCCATACTTTCAAGAAAAGTTAGGTGATCGTAAGTTCATCAGCGCATCATTAACGGCCTTTTAAACAAAATCCACCAATCATAGACAAGAAAATAGAGCGTAAGTACTTACGTTCACTTAGCGAGTTTTGAAAGTATGGCCCCTGACCTGAGAGACGCGGCAGGAGAGGTGAGTAGCGGGGCAAGGTCCACAGGAAGGTACCACTGTGCCAAGTGTACTAGGAAGAGCTCCTTCCATGACGCCTCAACCAACGTGCACTGAGCAAACACAAACAATAATAGAATTATGAGGAGAATAAACTGGGTTGGGTTTTTTAGATTATACCTGAGCAGACTGCCGTTGGCTTGAATGCGCGTCTTATTATTACTTATAGTTTACCCAATTCTGGCCCATAGGTATACAACCTTTATTTATTTTTATTTATTTCTGTAAATCTGATCCTATGAATCCAATAAAATCAACATTATAGTGTCAAGTGGTATATAAAATCACAGCGATTAATCTCTTTTCACTGAAAAATATCAAAAACATAGAGAATCAGTTCGAGGCAACGACAACATGCAAGTACGTTAAGCGAACGGTTGTACTCGACGAGAATAATTATTTAAAATATTTCTAACGTGCAGGAATGCAAATATACATATTTTCAGCCCTATATACGTAATATATAATCTGATAATAATTTTATAAATATAATACAATTCATTTTTTCCATTAGTATAGTACCTGGTCTTGTCGTGAGAGTGTTTGGAATGGAGCCAAAGACCTGATCCAACGCACCATCATGAAGAGCAGCCGAGCTGTGGTCTCCTATTGAAAAATGTTTCATGATTAAAGCGTTTATAATGCTTTCAGTATTTGAACTTTGTGATTTCATTTAGCATTTAAAGCATTTATTTTTTCAGCATTTAAATATCACGCGTTATCATTAATCACAGTGCTTTGAGAATTTTTTATTTTAAAATTTGATTCTAATTGCCTCAGACATGAATGCTTACCTGGAAAATTTCCCATGTGGGAGCAAAGGGGAGTATTGTAGGCATTGACGACATGGGGAAGTGAAAAGCTGTGGCCCCAATTGCTGCTCTTGAGAAGAGGTTACCGTTGAAGATGATGTTTGAACCATCGTAGGGATTACTCGAACTTGAGGAGGAGAGGGAGTGTCTGTTGGAATCGTTGTTGTTGTTGGGTGATGCCTGATTGGTGTTAGAGCCATGGTTGAACACAATTGTGCTTGATGATAATTTACTAATAATCGATGCTGCACTGGATGATAAATCGTCTATTCCATCTTCGAGTGTAGGTTTATTGTCGTGGAATGCACTCTCCGACATTTCATTCATATTCAGCCTGTTAGCGTGGTCACTGATACTAGTTATGATGCTATTACTGCTGCTGCTGTTGATTTTACTAGCGATGCTGTTTGTGATGTTGTTCAGAGCTGCGTTGTGCGACGGAGATGCGTGGAGCCACATCTGTGGAGAATGACGCTTGAAAATTAAGCGTAATAATAACAACGTAACCTTTAAGAAAATTTATTTAATTTTGGCGCATATCTAAAATGATGAGATTTTTTTCTTCAAAACTTTAAGTCAAAATTTCATATGTTTGCATTATTGTAACATTTTACACAAGCTTATTCTTCTTCGTTTGTATGCCAATGAATCGTTTTCTTCCGCTACCGAATAAGTCTTGGAGCTCTGGACCCAATATTTCATTAACAAAGTATTCTCAAGTACCCGAATAAGGTTTTGTTCATTCAACATATTCAAAAACAATAATTAAAGCCGGAGGTTTACTCGACACATCTAAAGGAAATGAGTAGTTTACTTACTTTTTCATGTTGTGGTGAGAACGGCATCACTGGGACACTCGCGTGGGTCGAGTGAGGTAGAAAGGGAGGAGTTGGAGCAATAAGTCCCTCGGTGAGTCCATGATGGGTATTGGGTCTGTGCTGGTTGAGGTGAGCGTGCTTAATGTTTGGTAATGTTGATGTGCCAGACGGTGGAGGTGGTGGAGGCAACAACATTGGCCTAAGCCTGGTGGAGTTGTTGGAATCGATGGCGGCGGAGGTGGCGGTGTAATGGAAGGGGTTGTGGTCCGAGTGCGGCAGCATTCCAGGGAACGTTACTGAGACGCCGGGCAGACCGGCCGTGTCCTTAGGTCGCGGCTTGCGAGGCCCGCGCTCGTGTTGTACTGCTGTGAGGAAATCGATAGGTGGTCAGTATTAAACCGGTAAATTTGCTAAATGGAAATTTTATGAACCCGTAAAATTTGTAGGCTGCGGTAGTGGCGCTGCCACTAGAAATGTGGGAAATGGTCAAGAGGCGGCTCAGGGTGACCAGACAAGAAAAGGGGGTATACGGAAACGAAAGTAGGAGGCGTAGAGGCCGGCGCTTAGCGCATAACTTGGTAACTCGGGTATTTTACAAGCGATGAGTTTACATCATTCAAACAAGGAACGTTCATGTACGAATCCATTACATTGATTTATACTTACATAACTTAGTCATTTGATTCTTTTTTCAATTACCCCTAGATTAGCGACACTGGAATTGTATGAAAATACATCTTATAAAAAATTCTACACCCAATGCTTTTATGCTTCCATTCCACGTTTCTATAGTCATTTAGAATTTTAACACAAATTTTCTCCCTTTATTAGTTTAACCCTATGTACAACGTGCCAATTGACTTCTTCTTCTTCTTCTTCTCAATTGACTTCTAATTACTTATCGATCAATGAGCACGTAAGACTCAAGATAACAATAAATTTTATAAAATCTTCTTATGTTTATTAGAAATGACTTCAATGAATTCTAGGGCCAAGCACCAGAATTGTTACAACTTCTTATTAATTCAGGCATTTAAAATTCTTCCTCATTGCATCTTATTTCATGCTTCATCCGCCCTTTCAACAGCATTACTCAAGGAGAGCATGTAACTGGTAGCATCATTGATAGAGAATATGACATGATTCAATATTCCCAGTAATACTGAACCAAGAGAGAAAGTTTAAGTTGGTATTAATTGGTTGCATAACCTTAAAATGTCTTGAAATCCTTATTATACTTTCATTGCATTGAACTGCGCATGTTCAGGCGGTGAGCTGATCCCAATTCTAACTAACACTAAATTTACGTATATAATTGTATTAAATCATGCATTAACGGAAGCTTAGAACAATTTTATATCTCAACTTTTGCCCTGAAACAATTGGAGGAATAATTAACTTATTTTTAGAATTGGTTTTCGATACCTCACACAAAACATGGAGACTACTGCCTCGCATTATCAACTCTTTTATAATAAATTCGCAAGTATAATGATATTCTTGTTCTTACGATCCTCCAACAAGACACTTGTGCTTCATCATACATCACTGGCGGCCATTCATCTTTATAGCTGCTGATTGGATGTCATGTAGGCGAGCATTGGCCGGCGTCGAACGACCTCCACAGGAGACACAAGAGAGATGTGTCGCTATGGCCTCTTGCTTTTACGCTAAATACTACCAATTTCGTGGATGAAAAAATCGATAATTCTTTGATATACGATATTATTGAGGGAATCTTGTTCTAACGAAAATTTTATTCTTTTTTCGATGAAAAAAATTCGCTATTATCACGATATACGATATTACTGAGTTCTATATGCAATGCACGATATTATTGAGTGCTGTGTGCGTTGTAGGATATTATTGAGATAATTTTACTCCCACGCTAAATTTTCGTAATTTTTTGAATGAAAAATACGGTTTTATGACGATAAACGATATTATTGGAATGAAACACATCTTTAATTAAAGCATTACTATATCAAAGCATTTTATACGAAATTATATTATTTACGCAAATGTGTGTCTTTACCTTGTTGTCTTATCGCCCTAAAATTACTGAACGCAATTCGGCAATTCGCTCTAATACTTTCTGTGCCCCAGTTGGACATCCGTAAAAACATTGGGCTCAACAGGACACATTTTCAAGCGGATTAATATTCTGATGTGGAAGTAAACACATTGTTTGTAGTAAAACCTTGGCGAATCACGCATAAAGAAAATGATTACCCATACAGCTTTGATTAATTTTGCAGAGACATACACTTTTTTCATAAATTAAAGCTTCTCTAAATTATAATTTCGCATTCGAAGCGAGATTATGCAATTGCTGCTCTACCGTAGCGTCCACTTATTTGTTGAATTATCATAACAGGTAAAAATTTGAAAACTTAAATGACTACAAAAAAAGATGGCTTAAGTTAGAATTTTACTGATCATAAATAAATGAAATAAATATCCAACTTCATGAACAATTTATATCAAAGATACATTTAATTTGAATGTTAGCCTCGCTGCGAACTGCCTCCCTAGAAATATTTATATATCCTCATTTTCGCTATCACAAAATATCAAAGAGCAGCTCACTCACCTGCTCTTATCAATGATATTTATAATAGTTTATGTTTAATTTTAAAAATTAGGAATTTGCATTACTAGGAACTAGGTAGGTTTGGGAGAGAGCTATTCCTTAGACCGGGTGCAGGGTGAGCTGACGCTATAGATCAACATGCGTGACTTCTACCGATGGCGCAGGTAATTAGCTACCTAAGATGTTGCAGGCTTCACAGCTCACACGGGCCATACCATATATTTTTTCATGAACTACAACTTTTCGCTCGTAAGTTCAACGACTCTCGTCTCCTTATGGGTAATGATTAAATAGATGAATTAATTCCACTATAATAACTCATCATTTAGCGCCAACAATGGAATAAATATAGTATAAGATGGAAACCAATTAATTGATGATCGTACGACCATAGTTTGTAGTGGTAATTAGACTCAATTCTAATTTAAGCCGTACGCAGATACCAAAAATTGTTTTCTGTAGCATGTGTCTATCAACAAATTATCAACACAAGTTTAAATTGGGCCACTTATCATTAATATTGGTCCCGGCCTTAACAATCAATACAAATTTAATGATCCTAATTTTATGTTAAGAAATACAAACAGCTCAAGTATTATTTTTTATGAGCGATTGTCCAATGTCTTCCAAATTTTACTCTAGAATTGAATTTACAAACATTATAAACTAATATCTCTGCAGATATATTAAAAATTTACTCAAATTCACTTCGGTTCGAAATGACAAAATTTTCAAATAAGATCACCAGGTTCGTCCTTTAACATCGTCAAAAAACTGCTATCTTAGAGGTAATCGTGTTACCTTTTGGCTCTATTTAATTGTAAGGAAGTAAATAAGTTACCAGAAAAATGCATGATAAACTTAGGTATACATGCCTGGTAATTTTTTTAGACCAAGTACGAAGCCGTAATATACCGATATTTCCCTTCAAATATGTTTAAAAGTAACACGAGCCGGCCCAACAATGGAACCTTCAGCCGGAGCTGTAAAACGCAGCTCAGAAACTCGCTGAGACGATTGCGGAAAAATCGCGGCTTTTTCGAACGCCTGGTCACATCAAAAAGCGCCTAATTAGAGATGAAAAGTAGTGTGAATAGCAGAAAGTTTTAATGCCTGCACCAAATTCTTTGCAAAGTCGATGAAATCGCCTTTAGGTCGAGCCAACGGAAGCGAGCGAGAACACAGGCGAGGATTGTCGAACGGAGGGCGGAACGGTGCACAAAAGAAGACTCTTGTTCCGCTGAATGGCATTCCCGCTACGTGCGCGAACTCGCAACGCCCTTCACTTAAAGGATTGGGAAGATAAGATAACATCCGAAATAAAATTAATTCGATTGATCAAAACTAATAAATCAAATTCTTAAATTACTCCGAATAAATTTACCGTTATTGCTTGCTGGGCGTAGGAAACCATCGTGAGATCTCGTTATTTCAGTTTATCTTTAAAAAATTTTCTAAATACTCGTAAAAATTTCTATAGGGTAAACACGATGCAGTAGGGTTTACGATGAGTATAGGGGTATAGGGTTTTCACGATGAGTAGCAGTACCTAATATGGATGGTTGTCAACTTGTCGGCAGTCGCTAAATCAGTGACTAGAGTTTGATTATTGGAATATAAAATAATTGTATTTGCATGTACGAGAGTAATTGTTATATATATACATAATTGTTATATCTTATATAGGTGAGTCTTAAAAGTATGAGCAAGATGGTTCATACGTTTCGTCCTTACAAAGATTCAAGTCAAGTCATTACTCATATCGAACAAATCTCAACTCAAACATGAATAAGTTAGGCGCCCGCGTTACATAATAGTATTGGTGAACGCTAACATGAAGCTTTATACAGTAGAGGCTATGCTATCCTTTAAGTCGGTCATGAGGGCTTCATGTTGTGGTTATTTCACTATAGAAACATCTCATATTGGCTTTAAGAATCAGGTTTGCATTAAAAAAACGAAGCCTAACATTCCCATCAAAATATGCAGATAAATAATAGATGAAAATTACCGAAATATACCTCAGCTCTATTGAAAATATTAAATATAATTGCACGGCATATTTTCTTACTAATTATTGACTTTAAAATATTAAATAAAGTAAGTGTATAATAGCCACGCTAGCAGGTAATTTGATGCCAGCAATTATCCACATGTTGGGCCATCTGATGCGGTGGTTCACAACCTTGGGGGAAATATAATTACCTAATGATGAATATGTATTACATTTGGGGTTTAGTTGAGAGGCGATGAGAAAATTGAAATTTTAACTTTGTAACTTTGTCTAGATGTCCTCAAAATCTTGTTGCAAACATTCCCATCCATCACATTGTTGCTCGGGTCATTGTACACAAAAGATACCAGACAGGAAGTAAATGTTCAACACTAATAAAATGAAACTTCGGGCAAGTGATTTAGTTTAGCCCACATCTAAACGATGTCTCCATATGCAAAACGATTATTATTATCTCCAATTTGATTATATCATAACAGACTGAAAACAAAAACATCCGGGCTTCATTTTCCCATAATAGAGGCCCCTCCGTAACCTCAAGA